TTGTAGTTTATATGTTATTATAAGAAACACTATAAGCAGGGATGCCATATGTTCTGCAAGACTTTTGATTGGCGGTACTTTTTCTGTCCAACATCTACACTGTTTTAACAGCTTTGCATCCCGCTTATCTCGCAACAGACCTGTCGAATATCACAAAAGCCATCGTTGTGTCAATTTCCTTGATTGAGACAAACGTTTCTGTCGACAGTGTCTAGACAGACATTGACTGCATGTTTTCTTGAGTCCCAATGTGACCCACACCACGTCCTGGCCACCACACCATAAAACCATATAAAACCACACCCTCGCGTCAAGCCTGATATGAATCGGCACCGCACGACGATGTCAACGGTTTTGAAGGCGAGATCTGCCAGATCTGCAGTCATGTCAACCTTGGCAGTCATGTGTTGGTTTCACACTGCGGATAGGTAAATCTGCAGTCATGAAAAACTTGGCCACCCTCGGTTCTCTTCCCACCTCTTCTAAGAAACCATAGGCCTGAAGGCGGTTGTGAATAAAGGGGGTTGTGAAATGCGTCCACCTGTCACTCCAGGTCATTGCAATCTTCTCCCGTCCATCCCTTAGAGCTTAACGCCTGATGAGAAGAGAACTGGAGAACTGGTCACGTTCGTGCGGTCACCGGCCGTTCGTGTGGTTTGTTCTTTCTTTTTGTCAAACGTGATGTTCAGGTCCCGAAACCGACCGAAACCGACGCGTGAAGTTCATTTTTTTGATATGCGTCGTCTCACGCGTCGAGTGAGTCGAGTTGCCATGAAACCGCAGCCCCGATGACAACTCGATGCGACGAGGAAAACCCACTGGTCCAATGTTAAGGTGATGTGAAAAGGACTAAAAGGACGCGTGAGAAGAAAACATGATAACAAAAACAACAACATTTCGTCCTACAGTCGCACCTTAGAGCAGCTGGCTGGACTCATCAAATGCGTCGTTGGTTTTTCCTACCACCTGCTTGGACTTCGACTGCACACATACGTCTGCACGATCGAAGTCCGAAGTTCGGGAATGCTGAAGTGATGATTGAGGATTGCGCCAGCTCGTGCTCTCATACGCCAAGGAAAAGTCGCATGTGCAGTCAGCAGATGTTGGCGCTTTCAGTGTGGCACCGAGAAGGACGTTGGTCCTGGATCCAACCGGAACTGGAAGAGAAGAGAAGAGACGACACCAGACATGGTCAGAAAATGGGTTGGTGGGCTGGTGGGGGAGGATTGCACTTTGAAGCTACTTTGGATTGCATTGTTGTAGCAACACCAGACATGGTGTATACCACTCCAGGAGCGATGGGATTTCCAAGGAACCCACACGGGGACCTGAGTCACTGATTCGATCCCGCAAGACTTTGGGGATGTCGCTCTACTGATTTCCCAGACCCCAAAAGAGATTTGCCAAACGTACATCCTCACTAAAGATGCATTGGAAACCGTGCCACGGTCATCAATTATACTCTATATTATCTATTTTGGGGACCACCATACAGTGAGTCACTCCATGATCGAAACCTCACGTGTGTCGTTCTTTGAAACAGTCACGGTGCAAGAAAGAGTAGACCCAGTGGTAGACGGTATCATCTATAGCTCCTTTTTTGAACTCAAGAAAGGATTGAAAAGCAAAGAGCTCTTCCAATAAAGCCAGCGTTGAACAGCTCCTTAGTGCTGAGGCCGCCTGGGCGAGCTGCGGCGCCGCCTCGCGGCGCCGGTCACGCGTGCCGGGGGCGCCGGTCGCGGCGCGAAACGTCTGTGGAGGACTGCGGTCAGGTCAAAAAAAGGCCTCAATGACTTGCATGTGATTCCTTCATGGGGTCAGGTCAGGTTTGGGGGTCAAGTTGAGAAAGAACCTGGCGGAAGTTGGGGTGCTGACATTGGAGCTGGTGGCACCACCCACTAAGACCTACCATATTATCAATATATATTAATATGAGCGAATTATTGCTATTAATTGTCATTGCATAAGAATTCGTTGCTGGTCCTGGAGAATAGACACGTGGGAGAATTCCAAGACTGTGGTGTTGTAACGAAGGCAGTGTTTACATGTCTTTTCTATGTACATTTTTTAATTTAGGTGGTTTTTGGATTGGTCTTGCACCAAGGCTCAGCCAAGCTTGACGGAACCGACCACAGGCGGGGCCGCTCCTGTGAACGATCAACATTTATGACATATGAGATCGATGTTTCTTGGAGGCCCGGGGAAAGTTGCTTGTACTGTACTGGGTTCCTGCTGTATGTCATCTCGAGTTGTTCTAAGTCGTAGTTCCATGCAGTTGGGGTGACTTGTTCTGCGACGTGGGGTGACTTACAACGTGACTTCATGCGTACGTAGCGCCTCCAGGGAGCCCGTGGGAGCCCGTGGGAGCCGTTTCCCGTGGCAAAAACGTGGGGTTTTCGGCGCAGGTGGACCGCGTGTTGGGCGACGAACTCAGTCTTTTGGACGATGAACACTGGGGTTTTCTGCATGTTGCATACAGCAATGTATTTTTTGTTGGCACTCACTGAGAGTTAGACACTAGCCAGTCGTTTGATCCATTGTTGAGTTGTGTAGTAGTAACATCATCATCAGCAGCAGCAGCATCATCATCATCATCAGCAGCAGCAGCAGCATATCATCATCAGCACCATCATCATCATCATCAACAACAACGACATGCGATTATGTTTGTTGGGATGCTTGCAGTTTGGAGGTCTTCTCCGAAAGAGATGGTGTCCGTGTTCTTTTTTGACCGGCCGAGGTCAACACTTGATGCCACTGGGCGTTGATACCTCAGGGGTGTTGTTCCACATCCTTTCTCCAACTCAGTACCCAGTCGGTGGACAACCTTCAACCATTTGGGGGTGAGACGGGGAAAGCCCCCCCCCCTTCAGAGCGAATGGGCGGAGAGAGGTCCAAACAGGTCCTGTATGTTCGGAAACGGAGGGGTCCAGAACTGGGGAAACTTCATGAATTTGGCATTCCATTGAGGCGCACACCAGATGAATCCAGATGATTCGAAACACATCATCGAGTAGATAGCATCGACTGCATCACAGTCGAGGTCATCTCGCACGAAGAGCATTTGCCGTTTGCCCGGACGAAGAAATCAACTCCGGTGTATCATACCTGTGCCATGCCTTTCACGTCCTCTCATTGCTCAAAGGTTTAGCATCAATATGATTTTGGCGGAGGCACGGAGGGCCAAAACATTGGAGTCCCTGAAGTGTCACGTAGCTGGCTCAAAAAGGACTAGACTCTACTAGACTTGTATGTATATATATATATATATGTTAGGTATGTGTATATATATATATGCGCATGTATCATTTACTCTTATACAATTCAGAAATCTAGATTCGTATACATACATAATCATATATACTTTGCAACTTTCACTATCAAGTGGGCGCAACGCTGCATGCAGAACCCATCTTGAGAGGCACAAGACTGGGGCATTCCGATCGTCGGACACGGATCGTCGACCAGGTCTTCCGCTCGTTGTCTTTGACCAGTGAGTGGATCGAGTCGAAGCTGAGATGATCGGACGCTTCCAGGCAAAGTGAACCCTGAGACCGTCATGAGAAGCCTCTCTAGACGATGGGGTAAATGGGTAGACGTAGACGTTTGTGATGGTAGAAGTTGGACCATGTTGGACCTGATGAAATCCTGGAGGACCAGTTGGGGTCATACAAAAACACTAACTCGTTGGAGGTCAAAGTCAACCCAGCTTTTGGACCCGGGTCAGCCCGGCTGTTGAGAAAGGAATAGACCATGGTCCGTCGGACACAACTCGTTGGAAAGCCTGACAAAACGGGATATGTCTCAAGCACTTTGAAATTGGTATGTCGATTCCATTCGATTCCCTGGTAAAGAACCACCCATCAAGGCAGGGAAGATGGCGATGCCCATGGAATTTTGTGAGTTGTAATTATACAACATATTATATTATAGCCGTCTTTGGAGTGAGTTGAATGACCCCAACATGTTGCCAGCGTCCCATGTATTTGGATGCCTTTGCAAAACCAGCGAAGGACAACAGATGACAACTGCAAGGTTTCAACGCACATGTCATGACATTCCAGGGCCCTGGAAGAGAAGCATTGTTTTTTTGATTATTATTATGTCAAATTAACGCAGCATTTGTATGTGGCGCGATGGATCGCGATGGCCTGAAGGATTGAAATGTGTTCAGTTGCCTGAAGGATTGAGATGCGTTTTGCCTCTTCACAACGTGTTTAATCTTCACAATCCTTGAGGTGTTACATCAGAGCCATGGATGATAATGCACAAGCCTTTGACCCGCGGTTTCTGACCCACCAAAAAACTGGCAACGGTCACCGCGCGTCGCCGAACAAGTTCGCGCATGAATTCGGCCTTCGACATACTTCGACAATGGTCAACCCAACAAGTGTCTAGGAGCAAGGACGTTACTAGGGGCCCTGGCTCCTGGCCTTACGACTAGGAACAAGAAGCTACTAGGGGCTTGTGGCATCGCTACTAGGAGCAAGGGCGCTACTATAGGAACAAAATAGCAAATGCATTACGACGCTCGTGGGTCGATGTTTGCTCCTAGTAGCAAGTCTTTCACTCCCAAAGAAACACCACAACTCGTGTGCTCACGCCGTGGGTGCACACTCCAAACAGGAGCGCTCGATCGGGCCTGCAAGCGCTTGTCAGGTCGATCGGACCTGGCAGGAGCTATTTGAGGGGAGGATTTCTGTTGATGAATATGAATCAAAAATAATCAAAATAGCACCAAATATCCACTAAATGGAGATGCAATGAGTTAAACCATTTTGGTTGGGGCGTCCGAAAATTGACCAGCATGTCTTCATTCGCTTTCGTAGATGTTGACTGAATCCACCGTCCTGGATGGTTGTTCACTTTTGCAGCCATCTGATTCAGTCAGCACTATGTCTTATGTTGACACTACATGTAGTTGTACACTATAGTACTTGTCTACCACGAGGTAAGTACACTATAATAGGACACTGGACTATAAGTCAGTACTTCTCTACCACCAGAGCCCGGACTTGCGGCATCGCAGCTGCTTTGCTCATAGCTGTCCATCTTCGTATACCAGTTGTGGAGGCACTGAGAAAAAAAACACTTGGATGCTGCTGGCATCGGTGTTTGAGGAAATGTTGCTTTGGACAGACTTCCACGGCAACACCCATGGGTGTTTCATTGGAAATGACATGAAGTGACTTGATTCTTTCGGTAGACTGCCCATGGGTCACTGGAAGAGTTTAGCCTTGTCGGAAGGGTCACTTGCCATTGTCCGTTGCACACCTGGGACCTCTTGAGCGTGGGTTGAGGTTCAGAAGCGTGAGATGTACAGTATCTAGAAGTGAATCTGTGACCATATGCTGAGTTCGCAGGTCAAAGACAGGATGGCTGAGACTGAGACAGAAAGGACTGCGCATCTTTGAACTTGGCCAAGTTCTTGCCAGTGAACCGTGTGGACCTAATCGATTGTTGCCGGAGGGTCAGAAGGCTTGCCACATCAGAGAACCATGGGTCATGGCGAACCTGTGGGCATCAGAGAACTGCCGGGATTTCTTCCCCAGTTGAGCCTCGGGTGTGGCTGGTCGGGTGCATCCAAACACGCTCACGGCATGTGCTCCTTGGTGCGCAGGAAACTACGTATTCGTGCCGAACAGGCAGAAGCTGAGGTGTGGAAGAGGGTGCCGGAAACCATGAATGACCTTTGTGTACAGTGCCAAAAACAGACAAGTTTTGCATGTCCGGTCAGGTCTCTTTGTTTTTTTTGTTTTCAGGACCTGACCCAATTATCCAATATGTTTCATACTTCTTGCGACTCGAATGACTGGTGACAGCTTGGCTGTGGATGATCTGTTTCGACCTGTTAGAGGGTCTTATGCCATATGCTCGCTAACTGCAGGCATCCTGGGCCGCTAAACGAAGCCCCAAACAAAGAAGCTGATTCTTTTTGGGGGGGCAGGGAATTTGTGCGTCATAATTATTGACTGCAAATACAATAATACATGGTCAACATCAAGAACAGCAACAAAGAAAATAAGAACACCAGCTATAAGCTAAAGTGGCAAGAGCAGTGACAAGCCGACAAGCCAGCATGTCAACACCAACCTCCGTCAACTCCAATGTCAAGGGTCCAAACACAATGACAAGATCACCAAGAGCTACAATGGCAACTAGATGCAACTAGCAACTACGAATTATTAATGGCGACAGCTATTTGCAGACATTACAAGCATAAGCACAACATCAATGAACATGTGACAAGACACCCTGACAAGTGTGTCGCATTGAGAACCACAACCAAAATAGTGATGACAATGACAAACCAGTGCAATGACACGCATATAGCCAATATTAACTTACCTATATATATATATATAACTATATAGTTGATAAATGACAACCACAATGGAAACAGCAAGAGCAGGCCACCAAGGATGACAACCAGCAACAACCGCAGCAACAACGAACACAATGCCATCAACTATAATCCATGCATACAATGACAAGCCAGATGACAACAACAGGCCACAGTGGCAACATCAATATCAAGCCAACAATGGCAATGGCAAGTCTAATAACAATACATAAACCAACAGAATGACAGCACCAGTTATATAGGATTGCATGATGCGCGGAGATCAATTGCCTCCAAAAGGCATGTGGGTCGGATAGGGATAGCTCAGAGAAGTAGTCTCAGTGTAGCTCAAATAGGGGCTGACCTCCCAGGCATTCCGACCCCCTGGGTTCGGTTCCAGGGCCAATACAAGCCCACATGGGTGGTGTATTCAGGATAGGGGGACCCCGGGGACACCCATATGAAACACATGGTGTCACATGGAAGGTCCACCCCGGGCCGGGCCGCGCCAGGTTCGATCCTTGAAGCGAACGAGGCATGAGAGGCATGGCGTCTCTCACCAAGTGGAATTTCCAAGTGCTGTTTGCCCAAGTGGGTTTGATAGATGTCGATTGGGAAGATGGAAGAAGGAGCTTGGCTCCCCCTTGCCTTCCAATGACTCTGTGGGAGTTTTTGTACATGGTTCTTGGCCAAGATTCCCGTGCAAGCAGAAATCTCGAAACTGGTACAATGTAAAACATCCTTGAGAGTTGCCAAACCCTGACTCCCAGGGCATCTATGCACATCATTGCATATCTATGCTTGCTCAATTCAGGGTTTGGTTGGGCAGACGTGATGGCTTTGGTTTGTGAGTGTCTCATCCATCAGATTGGTTTGCAGCTTGCCATTAGATGGGATTTGTTGGTGATATCGGCTCACACTTCTTGGCTCACACACCGGATTTGGAGACCCAAACCTGTGCGGAACACATCATGAATGTAGACACAACCACCTCACCGTATTGTTTTTGGGTTTCTTGAGGATCTCGATGTTTCGGCAGCACGCCGCGTCACCTTCGCGTTTCCACCAGACCCGGGCGTTCCGTTCGCTTCACTCGTTTCCACCCGCCCCCGGAGCACCGAGCTTCGGCACCGTGGAGGTCTGACCGTGCAGAAGTAACGACGCGGGTAGAGGCAGCTCCTGACGGTAAGTCCTCCAAAACACTGCTGAGCATTCCAGAATTCCGAGGATTTGAGGACTTTGTCCTCTTTATATAACATTATATAACTGCTTTTGTTCTACACATAGCTTGCAGCTGCGCTGAGAGCAGTGGGCAACGGATGCTGGTGGAACTTCTCCCGTTGGCCCAGACCTCTCGGCTGGACTTTGGCACGCAGACCGATTCCCACGAAACAGAGCTGCGCCCAGAGCGAGATCGAGCAGAGCTGCGCCCGCCAGGTCGTGAAAACCAATCCCTACAGGTCCAAAGACTTGACTCATTCTTGTCCGAGTTGAAAGTTGAAAGCAACCAGTTGAAAGCACCTGCCTCACTGAAAGACTTCAGCAGCCTTCCCTGTTTCCACCAAGGAGATCGCAGAGCCAAGAGAGAGGCCCGGGCCTCTGACGGTGTCACGGCGCCCGGGCCCGTGTCATGTCGCCCCCAGTGCCCCCATGACGGATTGAACTCCCAGAGAGACCACCCGGGTCAACGGGAAAAAAAACGGACACCACCTCTGGACAGGGCCCTTAGTGGAAGTGGAGCTAACAGTAGCTACGAGTAGAGTTCTAGGGGACTCGAAGCTTGGTGGCGTGAATCAGCTTGGTGGCGTGGATTCCCCCAGAACATGTCCCGTCAACGGGACGCGCATGCCAAACAGAAGCCCGCACAAGGTGACTTCCACTGCGCACCGGACAGCCAGGTTAAAAAACACCCCTGCGCCTTCGGAGGGCTCCCCTGTGTCAGCATCTTGTCTGACACAAGGGTCATTCGTGCCTGGCTGGTCCAACTTGACTTTTATAGATTGTAGATATTTGATATAGTAAGAAAGAAGTCTTAGAACATCTTGAAACATGGGAGCTGTGGTAATCCTAGCACAATCATTCGCACGGTATGAATCGATTGTGTTTGAAACTCAGTCGAACGCTGAAGTTTGGATGGCTTTGCCAGCCATCCAAACGCATGTTAAATAGCGAATGGGAATCTGGGATGTAGAGTAGACATGACATAATACATAGAGACTTGTCGAACAAGCACAGCAATGCTGGTTTGAAGGTGCGATTGTACAATTGGGTATTCTGGTTTAAGGAGACCTTGTGGTTCCATATTGAGTGGTTGATTTGGAATTGTGTGTTTGCTTCTGTGTTTTCGTTCAGAAGATGTCGACTGTTTGCAGCCGGCATACTTCCAAGGAGATTGAGGAGCTTGACTCTCAGGATTATCGCAACACAACATGTGGCAAGTGATGATCGCAAGAGGCCAACATTGCTTCTTGCAGTCGGATGCATCCTGAAACTGAATAAGTCATGGCTCAACAAGAAGCTGTTCTTCTAGGAAAAGATGACTGATGTTCCTGCAGATGTTCGTGAATTGAGCAGTCTTGGCCTGACTGTCAGCAAGGTTGCGCCAGCAACTGAAGCAAAGAGACTCGGCCATCGTCCAGTTGCAGGCCAGTTGTTGACACTTTGTTGCCGGCAAACTGGACTGCCAGCGATTTGTTGACCGCATGATGCTGCTACTCTGCCAAGAGTGTCCTTTTAATTGCCATAATATAGTTAATCATAATTTGATGTTGATTTGTCAGCTACTTGTATTACCTTTTTAACTCATCCTCAAGTAATTTGTCAATTTCTTCGAGAACCTAGCTCAACTGCCAGCTTGTTTGCTGGTCCACGATGATGGAGCATGACATGCAAGTAGCTGAAAGCCTTCAAAAGCAAGGGATCAGCAAGCTTGGGACTTTAGACTTAAGAAGAAAAGCGTTGTAGGACAAGCCCAACTTGAAGCTTGTTGGGGAACTTCAAGACACCTTTAACCTTTTCCTTGAAGCTCACAATGACCTGACTGCCTTCTTTCCTGATGATTCCCAAGCTCTTGTGAACTCCAGGCTGATAGGAACCGGGAGCAGCATACAAAACAGCGAAAAGCTAGCGAGTCTCTTGGCCAGCATTCATCGCTGTCCGTTCTGACACGAGCGTTGTGTGATGATTGGTGACAGGTGGCTGTCCATGATGCCAAGAATTAAGAAAGCTCGAAAAGCAAGATTGACGATACCGCCTAGGTCATTGCTCAGCACAGATTGGAACTTAAAATCACCAATACCTGTTTGTTTTGCAGCACCGATTTGAACGCCTTTTGGGCCGGTCGAAGAAGACTGCTAATGTCCCTTCATGCGCATACTGTTTTCCAACGAATGGATGTCGTGTTTGCTATCATAGTCATTCGTGGGCGCTGTTGAATCTTTAACTACAAGGCAGGAGAACAAGTCCTTCTTCTCTCACAGGCTCACAGGTATCGAATATGCATGGCCTGAACAGAACCAAAAACACTAGCGTCAGTGCCGTTGTCATTTTCAAGACTCAGGGAGACAACCTTGTGTCGCGAAGAGCTTTGTGAAATGACTCAGCGTGGGGAGCCTGGCAGTGAAAGCATATTGCTGGTTTATGTGCAGCCTTTGTCATCCTGGCGTATCATCCTTCATGCAACGGCCTCCTCATGACACAAGTGCTCACGGGTGGCACGTGTGCATTGGAACTTCAGGTGCTGAGTCCCTCATGGAGCAACTTCGCAAATCGAAGAAGCGTGGGGGTGAGCTGCAGGCGCCGTGCGCTGCCCGGCCGGGTCGTTCACACATCGAACACAACGTGCAACAAAGGGCACGCTGGCTTGGTGGCTGAGCTGATCCGATTTGGGGGTCGAAAAGGTCGGTCAAGGAAAAGGTCCAAGAAAGCAGGTGAGGGTTTTGAGATCCACTGGAAGGTGCATGGATGACTTTCTTCAACCGGACTGGTTGTTGACTGCACTCCCTTCCACACCTTCTGCCCCAGGCAGCTCGGGAGTTGGCCCGCGAGGAGTTCCTGACGTGTCGCTCGGAACTTCAAGAGTGCCAGGCGCGAGGAGCCTCGGGGTTCGGCTCGCGAGGAGCGACGGGATCGGATTCGCCTGCTTCGGCGTTCCTATTCTTTGGAGGTCACGTGCCGGTGTCTCGTGTCTCCTAAATCCTCAGGTTATTCCTGTCTCCTAAGGTCCTTTTTGACATCCTCAGGTCCTTTTCACTTTTTTTTGGGGGAATGGTTTTCCTAATGTAACGAAGAGGGGAAAAATGGGTTTCTACAACCTCTATAAATCTTCCAGGGAAAGGCGGAGGGAGTCAGTGAAAGAGGTCCAACTATGGATGCCATCGTGCCATATCTGCAACCCATGTGAGTGCTTTTGTGTCCAAGAGATTTTGTGAGAACATGAGCCAGCCATGTGTGTGTGAATGTTTAATACATGGAATTGTATGATAACCCCGCGCCTTTGGGTCCCATGTATCCAGGATTTGCTTCAATGAAACAACGATCACGTGGATTGAAAAGGGCTGCCCACTGAACCTGGTTGAACAGGAGCTGAACACTGCAGTGGACCGATGGTTTGACCCCAGCACCAGTACCCGCGTATCGGTCTTTGCGGTGGACTGGGGTGGACAGACGCTAGCTGCTAGGCCACGCTCCGCAGACAAGTGGCACGTGCCTCAAAAACTGTCGTTGGACAACATCCTGGATCAATGCTAGTGCTGGATTTGATGTTCCTACTTGGTTTTTTGGAAGGATGGACTAGGATGACTAGGTGACAAAGGAAAGATTGACTAAGTCAGGTTGGTTCATTTAACAGAGCTGACTTTGCTTAGGTCCGATCTGATGGCAGCGAGCCTACATACGAGTCTCGTGAGGACTGCTCAAACGCTTGGTGATTGATGAGTGTGTTTAGGTGACTTGGGGTTTGAGTAGAGTTCATTCTTACGCAAGAAAACATGCTTCAAAGATCTTCAAAGTCTAGGTTGACGTAGACACTGGGTGTGGTAATTACTGTATGTCTATGTTCAGGTGGGCAAGCTCATGAGTTATCGTTATCATTGTCATGTGGAAGTTCCTTTCCTTGCAGGCCAGTCGAAAGCCCAGGGCTTAAGCCTGCAATCCAGGTGTGTATTCACATGCATTTGAGACCTCCAGATTTCCCGTACAAAGTCAGCGCCGAGAGGCTTATCCTCATCGACGAAACATCAATGCATCGTTTGCGATAGGGCTTCTGGCATTGTGGTTTGTTTCATGCTGCACAATTACCACAGAGCGCTGCCAAACAAAAGCATTGCAGCCCAACCGCATCCGAGCGTAGCCAAAAACTGCCACAGTGGTCAGCAAGCAGGGCCGGACCACCATTTTCAATCGTCTTCGGGTTGCTGCGGGGTGACCAACCTGTCCCAGACATCACCTCCTTACTCTTGATGAGAGGCAGCCAGATGAATCACCCGGAGCACCCTAGGTAATAGAGCAGTGCTCAGATAGAGCTTCCATCACCATCCAGCATGCCAAATACGCTGCCACATGGCACTTGGGCGCTGGCTTCCACGCCTCACCTACATCATGCCTTCCACGCCTCCAAATCGAACGACACCGAAATGCCATGCGCGTCTTCCATTCACCAGCATCATATACCGGTTAAAGAAGAACCCTCTTAGACCGGTATAGCCTAGCATCATATCATCGTGCACTTCATTGCATTTATTATAACCTCGGCGTGGCGCGCCACTGGGCGGACATGGACCAGCTCTCCGGAAGCGGAGTAGAGTGCCCTCCGCATGCCTTCGCGACATCGCTTTGCCGAAGCTCTCGGGGTTCAAAAAGTCATGTCCATTGCAGTTGATCAGTTGGTTAGTGTCGGTTATCATGTTTGCCGCCATCAACTCAGATGCATGCAGTGCACACGCATGTATACTCTACATGTTGCATTTAGTCAGAGGACTGTAAAACGACTTCGGAAGATAGCAGGATCACATCCAAAGTGGAATGACGGGACAATGAGTCAGTACAACCCCAGGTGTTCTATTGTTACCAACCCTTTCAGACCACCTCAGGGTCTACTGTAATTACCGGCGTGTCCGATGACGGGCCGCTGACCGCCTCGGGCCAGGCCCGAGGCTCCCTACGGAGCTCCGAGAAGGCGCTGGAAGACGTTCCCGTGTTCCTCCGGCGGATGGTGGAGGGACTGCATTGGGGAGACCCATTTGGCAAGGAGGGAATTGGGGGGAAGAAAACATGAGAAAACCTATGGAGGTGTGGGGCCCGTGGAGTTATGGAGCGTTTTGGTTCTTTTTTACAGACCTGTTCACTGTTTCATACTGTTTCACCCAGAAAACCAGCTGAACTGCTCGGTTCTTTTTGAACCGAGCCTTCGGAGGGCAAATGCGCATGGAGATGTCCCAGAAAGAGGATTTCATGATTCATGTTCCAGCTTCTTCAGTCCGTTTTCCTTTTTTGGAGTCCCTAAGTGAATCTAAGTGAACTATAGTGAACTGCTATTACAGGCCATACAAGTTAACCTCAAACCTTTGAAGAACCAGGTTGAACTTCTTCGCGTTTGCATGCTGCATGCTTATGTTGTTTGTTGTCAGCAAAGAGGACGTTGGCTATAGGGGCCATGAACATCCGGGATGGATGAGCAGCACTTGCCAGGAGTCTGATGTGACGACCTCCCTCATGGACTCAAAGGATACTGCACCAATAGGCACAGGGAGCTACTGGAGTGCGTTTATTTGTTAATGGTATTATTCCAAACATATGGGTTTGTATTCTTTTGGCGTGTACTTTCTGCTGTAGTGGTTGGAAGTTCGACTTGAGCGATTCATACCCTCGAATCATACCCCCAAATCATACCCCTCAAAAATAGGTGTAAGAACTCAGTGTTGAGGTGAAGCTTTTGGTTGGTCTTTATGCCTTGTAGATGTCCATGAACCAATGGTGCTAAGTCTACAAGGTGAGCATATCTTCATCTTCGTTTCACCTTCAAGCTTCCGAAGACGCCTTTTCGATGGCCATCTCGATGGCTGGGCCATTCTTCTTCTTTTTCGTTGGACTCTCCGGCATCCATTGGATCCTCCATGTATTTTCGTCGATCTTCGTTGAATCGGAAGCACGATGTGAATGAGGTGAAGAGTTCACTCTTCGCCCACCCGAGTGGAAAGGTGCACCAGGAGGGGGTGGAAGTGGTTGAAGGTTCGAGGGGGTGGGACTATGGTGACCATTCTTGACAATTTTTGTGAGTTGTTTGAAGAAAGCGATTGACGCCAAGTACCGTGACGCATGTTCTTCAATTTTTTTTTTGGGGGGGGACGGTTCGGTTTTTGCTTGCTGCGTCAATGGGGAAGGTTCGGTTGAGTCTTCAACCTGTGTCATGCTGAAACGGGTTGAAGGCCTGGCAGACCGGTGTTGAGATTCTCCTCAGCCTCCAACACTGACAACACTGCAGGACAAGCCAGGCTTTCCCAGTGCTTTGGCACTCTGCGAAAGCTGGCAACTCAATTCACGAAAGGTAGCTTGAGCTTCCTGAGTTCTCCGTGCTTTAGCAAAAATGTATTACAATCAGGAGTTGGGATTGTGCATTGAGTTTGGTCCTGTAAGAGTTGATTCTGTTCGTCGGGGGGGGGGGCCGGATCAAATCCCCCCTGCGCCGGGTCACGCCGTCATGGACTTCTACCAGGGTTACTTGTGATTGCCTGCTACCTTTCGTTAACCCCTTCCTCTCTCAAGTTGAGGCTTCGATGAAAGAGCTCACCACTATCATCCAGTAGCCATGCCTTGATGCCTTGACATATTGGAGCTGATCTAATAAAGGTGTGTGTACGGGGTTTTATATGAAACGACCTTTTTAAATGCTGTTTGCACACCGTCCGCGAACGATCTCCGATTCCTGTCCCCACTGTCACAGACTGATCTGACAACCTAACTTGCCCTGGCGCAGCCCTGACAGAAAAAGCATATACAGAATTGTCCCCACTCACAAACTGCAACTGCATCACAGATGCTGCAAGTGACCCTAGAAGCTGTATTTCAACCTAGTGTCATGCTATGTCATGCTGCAAGATGCCAGTCAATATTTGTTGATATTTCAAGCATAGAGTTAGACAGGACATAGCTCCATTACATGTTAACGTTCGACATGTTCTTTGGACATCTTTGGACCATGGTTTCGTTTTGTTTTTTCTGTCTTTTTATGGCCGCAAAAGAAAGATCCACAAAGCTTTTTTTCCACGAAGACATTGTCATTCCATACTGAAAGAGTTTTATCAACCACATACATACAGACATACATACTGTATATATATATATATAAATAGTTCTGTGTACGGTTCGGCTCGCCAAATAGATAGCAAATCAAGGTCACCCGCGAAACTTGACCGCTCCATGATGGATACCCTCCGGCTCACTAACATGGAAGTGAAGTGGAAAACCACCTGTTTGAGAGGAACATGATCTTCCCAGTGGCCGCTTTCCACTTCTATATTAGTGAGTCGGAGTGTAGGGGGGTTGAGTGCACATGGAAGTGTGCAAAGCAAAGCTTGAGTTTGTGTTGTTGGAAGCACGTGTTTCAGTGGCCCCTTCTGCAGCTTTGCTCCTAGCTCCGATATTGGAGCATGTTTTCCTAGTTCCAAGTAGTTCCGTCTCTTCCCAGACAGGATTCGCATGTTCTGAACAAAATGCTTGCCGGGGTTGGCACGATTGCATCACCAAGGCTCCATCATGAGCTTTCCAAAGAGCTGCAGAGTCGATCCAAAAGCCAAGGCATCTTCGGCCTTCCAGTGGTGCCGAACTAACAAATTGAGTAAATTTGTTGGATATGTTTGGTGTACCCAGCACTTTGGGCCAATATTTTGCTTGAATTGCATTTGTTTGTGCCTGCACCATCCTCTGCCAGAACTTGTTTCCATTGTCTTCCACGTGATCAGACTGTGCTCTTGTGATCTGCAGAGAAAACCGTGACGTTCCGACCGCGTTCCGACCGTTTTCTCGTTTCAGGCAAGCCAGAAGATGTTTGGGAGACCCGGCCGAAAGGTAGCTGCTGAGGTGGAGCGTTCGTGTGAAGATCTGAATAGCTGGATGAGGCTGGATATATAAATGTTCAATACTGAAGATCACCACACTTGTGCTGCCTCAGCACTTGGATAAATTACCCAAGTGTTTCTGCAGTTCAGCGTTTACTTTCCTGCAGTTTGTCGGTTCATTCGCTCGCGAGCTTTTGCTACCACGTCCTTGGATTGTGATGGGGTGCACCAGCAGTACCGGCGCAGTTCGACATGACGAGATTGTGTGCACTGGCCAAATGCACCAAGAGGAGATCACGGTGTTCTCAGTGATCTCTCACAAAAGGAAGGAAACAGAAGTGATGAAAGTCAAAAAGAGTGTCACATTTCAGGAAGTTATTGAGTTTGAGGATTCCAACATGGAGAGCTCAATGAGATCTATTCAATCTTTTCTGAAAACGAGGTTCGAGGTGGCCAGGAGACTCGATCGTAGCTGTGTCCATGCTTCGACCATGTTCACTTGCCACGTGACCCGTGGCTCAAGCCATGACGCGAGATCGGAAAGACGAGCGCATTTCGCTTTTTTTCGGTCACTTTAGGCAGCCAATTTCACATTGGCAGCGGAGCACGACTCCGGGGGATCTTTGGGTGGCTCAGGCCTTCAGGGAGACCCTTTACCCTTTTGGGGGATCTTACTTTTTTTCCACCTTTGGCCACGACGCCATGTCGATCGTGGAGTGTCTGCGATGGCAGACCTTTGCGGCAGCCCAAGACGATGCTTGGAGCACCGAAGCGAAGTCTGGTGTACCACGCTTTGACGGCGAGGTCAGTCGCCTGGCGGAATACCAATTCCGCGTGAGGTTGAGGCAAGCTCGAGAAAAGGCCATGGACGAGAGCGAGGTCAAGAAACTTGGTCCACTAGCTCTGAGACTAGTGGACGGGCTCCGTGGTCCTGCGCTACAAGTAGCCCGAGCTTTGCCCGTGGACCGCCTAGCCGGCGAAGATGGCACCAGCGTCCTCCTCAAAGCCCTGCAGAGCAGCTTGCAACCGAGGTCACGACAGGAGGCAAGAGATCTGTATCAGATCGGGGCGCAACAAGGAGGAGTCCTTTCGCGGCAACAAGGCGAGAGCATTCCTTCATATGTTCTTCGCCGGAAAGCATGGTACAACCTCATGCTCGACATGGACAGCAGCCTGAAGCTCCCAGAAGCAATCCTCGCTGAGCAAACGCTCCAGAACTCAGGGATCAGCAACGACCACCAATTGCTGATCAGGGCTGCAGTCCATGGAGATGTCACCATGGAGAAGATCTGCGAGGAGTTGGTTGCGCAGCACAGCAGAGTTCATGAACACGAACTCCGACGTGGGAAGGGTGGTTCATTTGGACGCCACTCGAACTATGGCAAGAGCTTCAACTCCAAAGGCTATGGCAAGGACAGATTTCGCAGCTGGTCCCGGGCCTACCACGTGCAGCCTGCTGATGAGTACTATGACTGTGAGGACTGGGAGAGTCACTCGCAGAGCCTTGGAGGTTATGAGGAGTTTGATGGCTACCACGTCGACGAGGCCTACGCCTACGTGAATGACGAGGATGAGGTGATTCACTCCGTCTTCATGAACATGCATGAAGAGGGCCTCGATGAACAAGACCCTGAAGCAGCGGAGTATGCCGCTGAAGTGCTGCAGACTGAAGCCGAAGCATTCTTTGTGAGGGATCGTGCAGGCCAGACTGGCCATCGTGGCTTTGGCGGCTCACCTCGACATTTTCAAGTACAAGGTCATTTGACCATGGAGGAGCGCAAAGCCCGTGTTCAAGCCTTGAAGGCAAAGACCCAGTGCCGCAAGTGCGGTCAGCATGGACACTGGGCAAACGACCCTCAGTGCCCGAGGTCGTACAAGAAAGGAAAAGGCAAGTCCAGCAGCAGCTCACCATCGTCTGCTTCGACGGCTACCAGTTCGCCCAAGTCCAACAAGGGTGGCAAAGGCGGTAAGTCTGACAAGCCGCGCACCGTCTTCTTCACGATCAACGAGTACTCCGATGACATGACTGGTGAGCAACACCATGACCTCGAGGCCAACATGGTGATGAGAGATGGCCGTGAGGAGACGGCTGATGAAGCTCTGGATCGACTGATCGCTGAAGCTCAGGTGAAGACCTTGCACCAGGTCAACCTGCCGGTCTCTGGCTACACACCACCTGGCTACACCATCGGCAGAGACTACAGCTTGCTTGTCACTGATGAGCGCAAGGCCCATTTGGACTACTACCTGGCGGCGATCAACGATCCCAATGATCCTGAATGGCGTGACGCCTATGATGAACGTTGGAATGAGTTCATGCCCGGTCATCCGTTCTTCAATGAGCAAGACCGTGAACGCCTGGATCGCTGGCTTTGGAAGGCCCAACAGGGACTACCACGACTACCGGTTCAACAGCCTATGAGCTCGACAAGGCCTATGACATCTTCGGCCAACAAAGCACCGGAGCAACCGGTGTGTGAGCACAAGAATCAGACCAAGCACGGGACCAATGCCCATGTCAAGATGGTGAAGTGCAAAGATTGTGGCAAGGTCCTTGAATACGTGAAGCTCGACAAGGAGATGCGGCCGGTGAGTGATCAAACCACCACAACAAAAGGCTGTATGCACGTTGAGAAGGATTGGCGTGGCAGCACCGGCACGACATGGCAGTGGAAGTGCAAGACCTGTGGCCATGTCGAAAAAAGGGCAACGACCTCTTATCAACCAGGCTGGAGCTGGTGGAGGAACTTCATCGACTACTACCTCGACGCCCTTGAGCTCAGGCATGGTGCCCCATGCTCAGAGGATTGTGGAACTCTTCTCTGTGTCTGTTGAGCTGCAGAAGGATCTTGGAGGTGAACTTTCGGTCAACACCCTGGACAAGATCTATGAGAAGTGCAAGTCAGCTGTGTTCGGAGGTGGTTCAACAGCTGTGCCTGATCCTGGAGGTGATCGATCGCAAGGAAGTCCCTCAGCCTCTGATCACATTGATCTCAAGGTGTACCAGCGGAAGACTTTTGCAAATGGCACCTTCAAGGGACACACCTTCCAGGAGATCTACTCCTACGAGAAGACCTATGTGAAGACGACGCTCACCAAGTTCGAGAATGGCAACCTGAAGGATCCTTGCTTGATTGAGTTCGCCAAGTACTGCAAGGTCATGAAAGAACAGGAATCTGGTTCTGCCTACATGGTGAGCGATGAGACGGAGACGGAAGAGCTCTATGTGATCCTCGACACTGGCTGCAACAACACCTGCCATGGATCGAGATGGATGGAGAAGTTCATGCGCTACACTGGAATGCAGCCAGAGCTGATGCCTGCAGAAGGCCGCTTTCGAGGAGTCGGCGGTAAGGTGGAAGTGTCCGGGAAGAGATCCATTCCTGTTTGCATGAAGACCTTGGACGATGAGCTGGTTCCCGGAAACATCACTTCCATTGAGCTGGACAACTCGGACACGCCGTTGCTCTTGAGCTCAAATGCCCAGAAGTCACTTGGTTTTGTTCTGGACATGTCCGAGTACACCGCCTACAGCAAGACCCTCGACAAGGAGCTGGAGATTGTGAACTTGAATGGACTTCCAGCTTTGAGGCTCCATCCTGGTGACGAGAACCATGAAGGCATTGCAATGGTTCTTGCAGAGGACTATGTGTCGGAGGAGAATGAAGTCCCTGCGATTGACATTGGCACGAAGGTCCATGAAGAGAACCTGACAGACTCCGAAGACAATGTCACCAACAGCGGAGATTCCAATGAGACGGCATCCAATGAGACCGATGCCAGTGAACGACATCTTCCGCTACACGAATGCTCTGCCAAGACTTTGAGCAAAGGTCAGAAGAAGATGCTTTGCGCGAGCCTGGATGACATGGAGAAGGAGGACTGCGCCATGTGGAGCACGTTGCAGGGAGAGACCAAAAGGCGCAAGAAGATGTTGCCTCGTGGCTGTCGTTCCTTCATGAAGGAGATCTTTGCTGGAGCAGCCACTTTGAGCCTATTGGCCGTGACCATGGGTCTGAGCATCAGCGCACCAGTGGACATCGAGATTGATGAGCGCTACGACCTTTTGCAGAAGGCCAATCGTGATCGCCTTTGGCAGGAGATCGAAGACGATGATCCCTACCTCTTGACACTCTCACCACTGTGCGCGCCCTGGTCATCTTGGCAACGTCTCAATGCCACCAAGAGCGAGGAGATCCATGACAAGATCATGATGAATCGAAAAGAATGGTATCCAGTCATTGCTTGGATTGCAAAGCTTGTGGAGCGCCGACTTGAACTTGGCCGTGAAGTTCTCCTGGAAAATCCCTGGCCCTCACTTCTTTGGCAGTTGAAGTGCTTCACGGACATGATGGACAAGCAGCTCCGGAACCAAATGACTGGAGAGCCATTGGAGCTCATTCGACTGGACCAATGCATGTATGGTTTAGTTGGAGAAGGTGGTCTACCACACCAAAAGGCCACTGGCATGCTCCTTTCCTCGGCGAGGATGAAAGCAAGGCTCTGTGCACTATGTGATGGACTACATCATCACGAACAACTTGAAGGAAACAAGACCAAGAGAGCTCAGCAATGGCCACAACAGATGTGCAAGGCCATCCTAGAGAGTGCCCTGGAAGAGATGAAGTCGCAAGTCATTCGACATGCCTTCCCTGCGGAGTTCGAGAAGGAAGAACGTGAGGGCACCGACTACATGGACGGCATCCACGACTTGGATGATGTCGCTGAGCAAGTGCACAAGAGGAGGCGCATTGATTTCAACACCCTCGACACCGAGGAGGACCATGAGCAGTCGCAAGATCGTGTGGTGGACGACCTCCTGCACCAGAAGGAGAAGCTCAGAAAAGAAAAGTGGCTGAAGATCAGCCGAGATGAACGGATCGCAGTGAGGAGATTGCACCAGATGATGGGTCACTGCAGCAACCAAGCTTTGGTTCGGATGCTTCGCATGTCCTTGGCAAAGAAGGAGGTCATTGATGCCGCGCAAC